TGAAGCGCTTAAAAGCGACTCACGTATTCTTCCTTCACTTCCCTCGAAAAAGAAGAGCTGAGCTGCACGATGGCTAGAACCAAGCAAACTGCTCGTAAATCCACCGGCGGCAAAGCCCCCAGGAAGCAGCTGGCCACCAAGGCCGCTCGCAAGAGTGCGCCAGCCACCGGCGGCGTCAAGAAGCCTCACCGTTACAGGCCCGGTACGGTGGCTCTCCGCGAGATCCGCCGCTACCAGAAGTCCACCGAGCTGCTCATCCGCAAGTTGCCTTTCCAGCGTCTGGTCAGGGAGATCGCTCAGGATTTCAAGACCGATCTACGTTTCCAGAGCTCAGCCGTCATGGCTCTGCAGGAAGCCAGCGAGGCTTACTTGGTCGGTCTGTTCGAGGACACCAACTTGTGCGCGATCCACGCCAAGAGGGTCACCATCATGCCCAAAGACATCCAGCTCGCCCGTCGTATTCGCGGAGAGAGAGCTTAAAACGTTCTCCGTCACACCACAACGGCTCTTTTAAGAGCCACCACACTTGCAACTAAAGGAAAAATTCCCCATATGGCGTCATAATAAGTATGCAATGACATTCCATAATGTAAGGGTACCGCTGTGTGGTAGTACCACCCAATGACAGCTGTGAGACAAGATATCTGAAATGTCAATTAACACTCCCATATTTTTTTTTTCTGGCGTACAGCCGACAAAGCGTTTCTCGCAAAGAAGGAAACGTACAAATTCCATCACTCGAAATGCACTCATCGTGTTATATAAGTATTTTCGATATGTCGTTTAGCTCCATTCAGATAAAATGTCTCTACCACAGAACCAAATTTTTCATCACTTAAAAAAAAATGGATTCATTGGTGGTTGACCGAAACAAAATCATGCACGGATTTTGCTGGCTCGGGCATAATAACAAATTACGATCAGATTGCTTCATTCATTCACCACTTTTTTGATCAAGACAGTGTTCTTATCGGGACTCGTGCAGCAAGTGCTGTGCCAGCGCCGCTCTCTGATTGGTTGAAAACAAAAAAAAAAGCGCCTCTGTTGGCCTGCTTCCGGACCTGAGAGAGGACAGTCAATGTAATTTGGCGATTGGCCGCCCTTCGCGGTGGAATGACCAAAGCGAAATTTGTCACTCCACTTGGTTGACTTGACTTGTGATCTTTCACTTATGATTACACAGAATCAGAGCCATTTTAATATGGTTACAAATGTCGGTATTTGCGCCATTGTAAGTAAATGTTTCTGTCACTCTTTCACTTAATTGCACTTCCTTACATTCATATATAAGGCACACAAACAAATGCGTGTCACAATTACATTTAATTTCTCACCAGATTTCGATCACCCATACACAGTATGTTAAAAGTTGTTGTGGTGCTGGCAGGGCAGTTAAAAAACAGTACAACCAACCAGTTTTGGAATAAAATGAAATACAGATAACGATGACCCGTCCATGTTAAAACGACATGATTTAAAAAAAAGGGTTAACCACTAAACATGAATAAGTATAACTAAAATACAAAACGGACACCCCTGTTACTTTTTTTTTTTACTCCGAATAATGTATAAGTCTGTTTTTCAAAAGTTACATGATGTTATGGAAGTAAACCCTCTGCTGCATCACCATAAACCAACGGCTCTTTTAAGAGCCACGCATCTCATCAAACGAGTACTCACTCCTCTATTGCCTTATTTTCATTCATCATGAATTTAATTTCTGTTCATCTCTTAAAAGGGACAGTTTGAATACACTCGAACGGAGTCGCCAGTATGTTTGATCGCATTTGCCAGTTTATTTTGTTTTGGTTACTCCAAATTGGCAACTCCGCGCTTCCGTAGGTAACACATCTGATGCTCTTTATCATTTTTTGGGGCGTGTGTTAAAATTTAAGTAGCTGAGGTTGAGGCAAGAGACAGCAAATTGTCCAATTGCTTTTATATGCTAGAGTAGATAAATTGATAGGCATGTAGTGTCGTTACAGTGTACGTGGATATCTTGGAAATTTGGACTCGGATGTGAAAATTGTGTTTTAATATGCTATACTTTTGTTTGGAGTTCATCAATATGTGTTGATATCGAGATAAGAACATATTGAATGTATGATGCACAACTTTTACTTTTTTTAAGCAATTTTAGGTTAAAGTGAACATCAATAGTAGCCAGGCTGTCACCAAAGGCAAAATATAAAAATGATGAAATCATGATCAGCTGATATACAGTCATGTACTGTAATCTGTGTCTGACTGATCCCAAACGATAAACCAGGCTAGCGTAAAAGCATTCGCACCGTTCCCACATATAGTGTTACTGTATATAGTTGGACTTTCTCGACTCTGTATTGTCAATACTTTAGCTGCTGTATGCGTGTACGTTCTCTATAATAAGAATCATTTCTAGACTTGGAAATAATATTGCAGTTTGAGGACACGAGGAGTTGTTGTCCCATGACAAAAGACACAGGTCTTGCTCCTCAATTGTGTTTGCTGCCCTCGGAGAAGGTTGTCTTTTTCCAAAAAATATCACCCATACTCGCTTGTTTAGACGTTGAGTCCGTGGATGAACATGTTACTTAATACGTAAAACACTTTTTGTCCAATCGTTTTTTACTTTACATCATTTTATTGAAGAAACGAGTGAGGAATCTCCTTGAGTAACGCTGCTCACGCCGGTGTGGAGGTGAAGTTTAGCAGCTCTGCAGAGCAAATGCAGGAGGCACATGACTTTTAAACACCTTCAATGTGGAAATAAACACGTGTGCTATGCACTGAAATAATTTTCAGTGATGCAAGTGTTTTCATTGTGAATTTTTGCCGTTTGAAGTGTGCGGAGAAAACACAAGTAGAGGAGAGGGTGTCGGCGCGCTGTGGCGCAAACTGCTTGATTGACTCTCCACGGTTCTCACGATGCATTTAAATGCAGCAATGTACGCGGCCAACGCATCAGTCCATTCATACCCAGACGTCATGGCAGAAGTAGCACCAGCCCCGGCCACCCCGGCAAAAACGACCAAGAAGAAGGCATCAAAGCCCGCGAAGAAGAGGGTCGGTCCCAGCATCAGCGAGCTTATCGTCAAGGCCGTGGCCGCGTCCAAGGAGCGCAATGGCGTCTCTCTGGCCTCCCTCAAGAAATCTCTGGTCGCCTCCGGCTACGACGTGGACAAGAACAGGTACCGCGTCAAGATCGCCGTCGTCGGCTTGGTGAACAAAGGTACCCTCGTTCAAACCAAGGGCACCGGCGCCTCTGGCTCCTTTAAGATGAACAAAAAGGCCGAGGGGAAGACAAAGGCGCCCGCCAAGGCTTCAAAGAAGACCCCCACGAAAGCTAAGAAGCCTGCCAAGAAGGCAACTCCGAGCAAGAAGCCCAAAACAACCCCAGCCAAGAAGGCGGCCGCGAAGAAATCACCGAAGAAACCCGCCAAGGCCTCGACGCCCAAGAAAGCGGCCAAGAAGCCCACCAAAAGCCCAAAGAAAGCGACGGCGTCTAAAAAAGCCCCCGCGGCCAAGAAGACCCCCGCCGCCAAGAAGAGCCCCGCTAAGAAGGTGGCCAAGCCCAAAAGTGTCAAAAAGGCAGCACCCAAAAAGAAGTGATTTTACACTTGTACTCACAAAAGGCTCTTTTAAGAGCCACCCCACCACCTTTAAAGAGCAAACATTCTTTCACGAGTTGCATTTGGATAGATACGTCATAACTAAAACTCGTGTTTAAAAGGATCACACAATCGTGAAAGGGATAAATTCCCATTTTCATTTCAGACTGACATCTTGTTGTGACACCAGTAGTCGCTAGGTGGTGCAAGTGTTCCATTTACATACACGACTGTTTTATCGCAAGTGGAAAAAGGCGTCATCTTTATGGGACCCCGGACATGCAGAGTGTAATGTACGTCAATGTATCTTGCACACGCACGAGTCTTTCAGAATGAATGGTCACCATGCTTTGGAACAATAGTGCAATTTAATAGAACATAGATAAGTTAAGACTTCGTGTGTTGCATTTGTGTGAGCCATGATTTCAATTTTTTTTTTTCAATCTGCATTAAACGCGTATCAAAGGAGAAATGCTCTCTAGAGGCAAGGTGCGTGGCTCTTAAAAGAGCCGTTTTGGGGTTGTGGAAGAGTCAGAGTCCCTTTTTACTTGGACTTGGCTGGTTTCTCGGTCTTCTTGGGCAGAAGAACGGCCTGGATGTTGGGCAACACGCCGCCCTGAGCGATGGTCACTCCGCCCAGGAGTTTGTTGAGTTCCTCGTCGTTGCGCACGGCCAGCTGCAGGTGACGAGGGATGATTCTCGTTTTCTTGTTGTCGCGGGCTGCGTTGCCGGCCAACTCCAGGATCTCAGCGGTCAAGTACTCCAGCACGGCCGCCAGGTAGACGGGGGCGCCGGCACCCACCCGTTGAGCGTAGTTTCCTTTGCGCAGCAGCCTGTGGCCACGCCAAAGCTAAGAAGCCTGCCAAGAAGGCAACTCCGAGCAAGAAGCCCAAAACAACCCCAGCCAAGAAGGCGGCCGCGAAGAAATCACCGAAGAAACCCGCCAAGGCCTCGACGCCCAAGAAAGCGGCCAAGAAGCCCACCAAAAGCCCAAAGAAAGCGACGGCGTCTAAAAAAGCCCCCGCGGCCAAGAAGACCCCCGCCGCCAAGAAGAGCCCCGCTAAGAAGGTGGCCAAGCCCAAAAGTGTCAAAAAGGCAGCACCCAAAAAGAAGTGATTTTACACTTGTACTCACAAAAGGCTCTTTTAAGAGCCACCCCACCACCTTTAAAGAGCAAACATTCTTTCACGAGTTGCATTTGGATAGATACGTCATAACTAAAACTCGTGTTTAAAAGGATCACACAATCGTGAAAGGGATAAATTCCCATTTTCATTTCAGACTGACATCTTGTTGTGACACCAGTAGTCGCTAGGTGGTGCAAGTGTTCCATTTACATACACGACTGTTTTATCGCAAGTGGAAAAAGGCGTCATCTTTATGGGACCCCGGACATGCAGAGTGTAATGTACGTCAATGTATCTTGCACACGCACGAGTCTTTCAGAATGAATGGTCACCATGCTTTGGAACAATAGTGCAATTTAATAGAACATAGATAAGTTAAGACTTCGTGTGTTGCATTTGTGTGAGCCATGATTTCAATTTTTTTTTTTCAATCTGCATTAAACGCGTATCAAAGGAGAAATGCTCTCTAGAGGCAAGGTGCGTGGCTCTTAAAAGAGCCGTTTTGGGGTTGTGGAAGAGTCAGAGTCCCTTTTTACTTGGATCGGTCTTCTTGGACAGAAGAACGGCCTGGATGTTGGGCAACACGCCGCCCTGAGCGATGGTCACTCCGCCCAGGAGTTTGTTGAGTTCCTCGTCGTTGCGCACGGCCAGCTGCAGGTGACGAGGGATGCTT